TGATCAAATAGCATAGAAAAATAGAACATTCTTTTCTCTATCAGACTATATAAAAAGAAAGTTTCTTTAACCTTTCTATAAGGGATAAAAATACCACTGCCACTACTTTTGGTATGCCCTAAGTACGAGCCAGCTCTATATCGCAAAAACTAGCTTTCAGAAGAATTAATGGACATAAATTGTTTGTGTTTAAATATCCAAATTTGAAAGAAAGCTCGTAAAGTCTTTCTTTTCAGCTTTTGTTCTATTTTTCAGCCTAAAAAGACTTAGATATAAGGTCGTCGTGTTTTTTCTTTTTGCTTTTAGTTCTAACTCTTAGATGAAACTTGTTTCAAAACTGTATAATATCTTATTTTACGAATTTTGTCGCATAGTTCCGGTGAGACGGTGGAAAAAAGATGTCGTACTCACTGGGCGACATACGAGTTCATATGTCCTCAATTTACAAAAAAAGCAAATAAATCTAGCGCTGGAAGCTAGCTAGATAAATATACCGTTACAGCTAGACGCAATTATGTATGACATCGTCCGCTACATTAGTCAATGCATCGGGCTGAATATAGGCTCGATCGGACTGATAACAATAGATGAAAAACTAGATGCATCGCCTCTTAAATCGGTTGATACATCTAGCAAACGATAGATATTTTATTTAGGTATCGATCTCTATAACGCTAACTGTATTGCCCACCATATCGGACACTGAATCTAATAGGATATAGGGTTGTTAAGACTGGTAAATGTAGATGAAAAACTAGATGTATCGCCTTTTATATTAAGCGATGCATCTAGGAAAACGAAAGTTTTTATGTACGTATACTTCTACCTAACATTAGCTGCATCGTTCGATACATCGACTGATACATCTACCGAAACTTGATTTTGTACTGTGTTCAACAATCATTACGAAACCAGATGCATTGCACGATGAGTCGCTGAATGCACCTGTTGTACACTGGCTAATCTTTTACTAGATGCATCGGATATTACATCGTGTAATCGAGTAAAACCCGATGCATCTAGATAACCCGATATTTTTTACTCTTTTATCTAGATACTTTTGCTGGAGTATCGGGCGATCCCCCGGCAAGTGTATCTAGATTTTCTCGCTTACGAATTCATGCTTGGGTTGTAAATGTAATGGAATTTGAAACGAAGGAAGTGATGTAGAGAACATGACGTGTAAACAAATTAACTTTAGTGAAATTAGATCTGTTCTCTTCCTTATCGCAACACGTTGCATTAATACTTTGACCTTTTCAACAAACAACTATAAAACGTATAGTAACAATACAAAGGAAAGTATCATTCGAATTAAGAACAAAAATGTTATTGCAAAACATTCTTCTTCTTCTTCCGGTGTTAATTCAATCTGAATATGTGGCTAACCAACATGATCGTCGCCTGAAGAAAACAGTAATTCCACCTTATCAAACTGCAGTGACTTTACTTAACAATGATATTGTGGGTAAATTAATGAATATTCATTCAATACGTGGTCAACGGCAACTTTCAACTTTATCTAACGGACTCTACTGTACAGCTCAACAAATCTTTACCAATCTTGAACAAGCAACATCAGCTAATGATGAACTTAAAGAGGAACTGGATAGTACAACTGTTGAACTTGCTCGTCGAATTTCTCAAACGGAAGATGAAAAGAAACGAATTCAACAAAATTTTGTTGCATTACAAGGAAAAATCTCATCTCTTCAAAACGCAATTTACATAGCAGAACGAGCCGTTAACGATAAAGAAGAAGATTACAGAGCAGCACAACGCGCCCATCAACAAGCAGAAGAAGCACTCGATGATGCTCATTATTGTATACGAAGAAAACGTCGTTGGACATGGTTTGAGAGAAATATTTTAGAACCTCTAAACGACGTTGGAGTAGCTGTTTGGAGAGGGGCTTGCAGTATTGTCAATAGTGGAGGAATTAGTAATGCAGAACATCGAGTCTCAGTTGCAAGAACATCTCTTGATGAAGCTAGAAATTCCTTGACAAATCATCGGAATCAACTCTCAGTGGCATACAATGTAAAAACCAGTGTTGAATATCAATTATCAAGTATTAATCATCGATTAGTAATACAAAATGAATATCTTGAAGAACAACGGGCTGAACATACATTGACAATCAAACTTTCCGTTCGATTCAAAGAAATTAAAGTTCATTTGAACACAATCTCAATTCCGTCTGAAGAGTTACTCAAGGAACTGAATATGCTTATAGCTTTTGATGATCTTATCAAACCATTAAATGAAATCTATAAAGAACTTTCAAGTGAACATCTTATTGAGGATGAAACTTTGAAAATTTCACCTAGCCAAGTAAAAGAAACTACGAGAAAATTAAAATGGCTTGCAAAGAAACTACCTCTAGTAGATTTGTTGCACAATCAATTGCAAAGACCCTGTGACTTGAAGTAAGTTCCGTCATTAATCATTTCAGCTTTACTTTTAATTCGACGAAATTTCTTTTAGAAACAATGACTCAATTACATATGACAACGAAATTGAATCAAATCAAACAAATTGGTCACAAGAAGGTGATCAAGAAGCATCAGACAACGAGACATTTCTGTTTGATTGGGACAATACAAAAGATATATTAATGCCTGGATCGAATTTTGATGAAACAACCGACAGTGAGGCACTTCCGTCTGAAGGGGACAAAACGACAGATTTTACTATACCTGAGCCGAATACTTTTACAACAGATGACTACAAAAGCATGTTGTCGAATTGGTACACTGTACTACAGGAAATAGCAACTGAATTGAATTCTGAAACACTAAGCGATGATGGCAGACGTTTTTTCGAGATGACTAAATCGAAGATAGAAGCACAGATTAAAACGGTACGAGAACATCTTGCTAAAAAGTAAAATCATGTTGAAAATCTTTCTCAACAATCTGATGATTCAACCGAATACTATCCTAATTATGACTGATGAAGATCCAATATCCGAAAATATTTACTCAAAATCTCGATGAATAATTGTCTTTTTACCATTTTACTTTGGTGTTGTAAAAAAATATTTTCTGGAAAAGGATCAGCAATCTCAAAATAGGTATAATGGAAATAAACAAAGAAGAAATAATTTATTTAGGTAGAACAACCAATGAATTGGAGACGACTGATTCAGAAGCTGAAATCAGTAAACTTCGAAAAAGATTCATGGTTGATAAACAATTTGAAAATACAATGGTTACTGTGCCACTTACAATTTATCTTCTTGGAAAATTGATGGTTCAGTCAAGTCTAGCTGATTTTTCTTTACGCAGATTTAGAGACGATTGGCCATATAAACGTATTCAAAGTCCAGAATCATTTCGAGCAACTCTAGCACAAATCGCCAATGGTAAGCTTATTCAAAGAAATCTCTTTTGACCAACTTTATTATTATCGTCTATGTCCTTAAAAATTCTCAGAATTGTTTTGATCTTTCTCCAATGCATGTTTTAATTTAGCGAACTGAAATATTGTGCGAGAGATTCCTCCATATTCATTATAGACGCAAAAATAACATTTATTTTGGCGTTTTGTCTTTTGTCGATGTCTAATGAAACGTTATTGCTGAGAATTTTAAGAATCATATCAAACTAAAACAAACATTTGCTGGTTTTCTGTAGATATATGTTTGAAAGGGATCATGATGACGAAAATTAGTCTTATGTTACTATTGTCTTTAAAGATTAAATTGTTTTCTGATTTGTAGACGGGTGGAATGCATTTATGGGTGCTCATTCAGCTATGAATAAAATTCAATTGAATATGCAACAAATACCACAACATCTTCGCACTGCTCGCAGAATTATTAAAGCAGATATTTCGTATGGATTACTCTCACGTCTTTTGCCAAAAACCCTCCGACATGTCACTCGAATAGGAGACGAATGCAAAACTTCGTCGGCAAACGCTAGCAATGTTTTTCACGATGTTTATCTACTTCTAACGGAAGTTGAGGTAGCAACAATTGCATCAGAAATAGGATATGCAACGGAACGAAAGAAAATCCACAACGAATACAATAATACACGTATAATTATGGCAGAAAAAGAAAAATTAAAGAAAGATCTTGATCAAGAATTAGCTGAAGCAAAAACACTCGTACAGAACGCTCGACACGAACTTTCGAACGCTTTGGACAAAATACCAACTGGTTTCGATGCTATTATAAACGAATTGTGCTATACTGTTATCGACTTCATAGGTGATATTGGTAGAGCAATTAGTGGAAGACGGGGATCTATCGATGGCTCAAGCATGAGTGGAGGAGGTCCAAATACCGTATCTGCTGCTGTTAAGGAGATGGAGAGTTGTGTAAAAGGATTTGGTAAAGGTCTTAAAGTGTTTATTAAAGAACTTGCAAAAAAGAAAGGTATTTCATTGGATACACTCTCTCATTTCAAAACGGGTTTCGATATGTGGTATAATATAACTCAAAACGTAGCATACAATGAAAAGAAGGATCAAGCAGCTCAATTAATCAATCGTGGAATCGATGCAATTATGCGAATGATTTCATCCGTAAAAAAAGGTCGTGATGTCAAAAACGAAAACAAACAACAATTCATTGTATTACGTAGTGATGTTGAAAAATTTCTGGCACAGCAAGCCTCAACTACTAATAATAATCCAGTTTCAAATTTCAATGCACCGAAGGAGCGAGCAACAGATAAAAACCCCAAATTCATTGTTGCTGTACATCAACAAGAACTACGTTATCTTGAAAAAACCTACGAAGACCGCTACAATGCTTTTCGCAAATTGAACGACGAGGTTAGTGATATGATTGGGAGAATGGTTCGTCTCGACTCCGATGAAATTCAATTTAAAGATATTCTTGAAGTCTTACATACAGCAGTTAAACTTCTTGCTGAAATTAAAACAAATTGGAATCATCTTACTATTTTCTTCAAAACCATCGCTCAAGAAATTGCACTATCCGTAGATTCTATCCTTGCACCTGTATTGGACCATGCAGAAGGAGCGATATCTCCGATTAAAGAAGAACGAGATCGTAAGTTTCTACTTGCGGCGATCGATAGACTCGGAAAGCAAGCAGTGGATGAATCCCATTTAATATTTCTTCTTTCAAGAACATACGTTGATATTTCAAGCAAATATCTTATGGAAAAGCTTGCAGATCTCTCGCGATTGATGTTTATGAAAACCAAAGAGGAGCGTGAAGTTGAGTTGAATATATTGAAGAATGAAGAGTCTAAAATGGAGGAAACAGTAAGAGAACTTGTCGCTCAACGTAGACGTATTTTTCAAGAACATCTTGACAAACAACAAAGAAAATTAGAAAAACTTAATCAACAATCTGCTGATTCAGATGAAGACAACCAACAAATGAGCGATCAAGACCAAGATTTTCTAAATACGAATGTTTAACTATTCACATTCATTTTATTTTAATCATGATTTCATCAATTTTTTCTTCTATTCTTGTTTTAATAAATGATCTTATTTGAGGGTGAAAAAATGAAATGTTGAATTTAATCTATATATGAATCAACGCTGTTCACCGCTTGAGTATGAGGATTTAGGAAGTGCTTCTATACGAATTATTTGAATTTGACCTTTGTTTTTCTTTTTTATCTAATGACAGATGAAACAAAAAGAAAGGTTTTTATTGCTTTGATTCGATTTATCTTTTGATTTAATCTATCGAAAAAGTAATATTAAAATAAGTGCTACGTTTGGGATTAATGGCTTCCTCATCGAGAAATTGATATGTTTGTTTTTCTAATCAATAATCTCAAAGGTTAATAGAGTCATGATGAAATTATTTTTCTCTTTCCATTTGTCTATATAAACAATGTACATGTTAATAAACAATGATTCACTCGAAAAAGATCAGCGCTTCCGTATACAGAAAAAAAGATAAGAAATTCGGTAAAAAATTAAAAAAAGATGCTTCTCAATGAGATAGATGTCTTTAATTTATTTATTCTCCTATTGAGTGTTTCTTTCAGTTTGAGTAACAAATAATATGGATGATTAATCAAGACGAAGTATTTTTTGTTATTATTTGATTGTCTTTCACAGGTGAAGAATAATGATATATCGAAATGTCAATCTTCTGATTGTGATCATAGGTTTGTTAATCAAAGTAGACTATTCCGAATCCAACATTTTCGGATCCAGCAAAGGTAAGTTAATTGTGGACAAAATATTACGATCGTTTGTTTATAAATTTTATGCGTTATGGTAATTGTAGACACTCCTGCTGAATGGGCCGTCAACTGGAATGGTATCGGAAGAAGTAATAATCCCGCTCATGGTTATGCATATGCATGGAGAGGTACTGGTATCTCTGAGGAAGAAAAACAGCAATTAATATCGAAAATTGAATCTCAACCGGCTAACGAAGTTTATGCCGCGTTACTTGCTCGACCAGCTCCAAAAATAAGCTATTATGGAACCTGTGCAGTTGGAATAGTCAAAGGAATGCCTACATTTTGGGTTGATGGAATGTATGGTTCTGTTGGACATTCAGGTTATCCAAAAAATCCTGTGTCCAAAGATGGAACTGGACATTTAGAAGGTTGTTATAACGAGCATCAAATAACTGGTCTTTGTTCTTATTCGGATGTGGCAGAAAGAGCAAAAGAGACGCTTCTCAATGCTGTTAAAAATGATGTTTGTACTAACTATTACAATATTAAACAGCTTATTGGAACTATTTCTCAAGTATGTTTTATTCATTTCTTGTTGAAGAGTGAGGGTGAGGGGTCAGGTTTGAATACTCAATCACGAAACAGCATGATATATATAAAATCGTTCATAAATATTCGAACTAAGTATTTTTCTCTTGTGACAGTCAATAAGTTCTGACAAAAGAGTATCGATAAAAAAATAGAAGAATTCAAAAACAGAAGTATTTATGGAAGGCTACAATAGATCGTTTGCTGTGTACTGTATATCGCGTACTGAATGGGAGTACTTAGAGAGCATGTCTGTTTTATTCCTTACTAATATTGTGTGTCATATTGTTTCAACTCGAAGAAGATATGTATTTGTTCGATATAATACTTGTTATCTTTTAGAATAATCCGTCACTTCCAGTAACAGGAACAGATGACATTAAAGCTCGTGCCAAGAAGTTTCTCTCTGAAGTCGGTCTTAGAATACCACCTGCTGGTAAAGGCGATCAATGGATAACTTTGTGTGAATTAAAGGTGTATATTAAGGAGTCTGGCTTGGATAGTATTACAAAAACAGAAACGTGTACAAAGACAGCTAAAGGTGTAATCAAGGAGATACGTGTCAAAGCCAAAGAAAAATGGCGTTGTGAATATGAGACACAATCCTATGCATCGGATACAATGATCAATTCTAAGAACAAGATCAATAATCAATATAATGATGCCATCAACTTGGCAATAAAAGTAAACGATAAAATAACCGCTGATCACTTGAACACAATGAAAGATCAACATGTGCAAAATCTTGAAGCTACTATCAATCACGATACAGCTAAACTTACAGCTAGAGTTACCAGTGCACCTCGGTGGGGTGGAGGTGCTATTTGTAATCTTGTACTTGAAGGACTCGTCAATGAACTCTTCTAGATATCCTATTTATTATCCTATTCTTGTATAACCAATAATATCAATTAACAATAAAATGATTTTAGCATTTTTAAAGGAGGAGGGTCGTTAAGCACACAAATCCCAGCACACAGGCCCATTAAAAAATTCCTTTTTTTTATATCCGAAATGGTACTGTTCGACGCCCTGAATTCAGTAAGGTTCAATACTAGCCGTTCCACCTCATTTAGAGAGTGCGCAGACTCGATTTAGCTCAATATTCTTCATAGGCACTTTTACGACATTTCAGACGATACTTTTGGCTATTTCGTTACAGAAAACATATCGGTCCAGTTTAGATTTAAGCCCGAAAGATAGAGCTTTCTAAGCTCTACATTTTAACATAAAAATGTTCAATGAAAAAAATGAGCGTCTTTTAGATTTGGGTGCCATAGTGGCTGAAAATGATAATTACGCGCGCGTATCGTTCCATTAGAAAAAACGAACTTTTGCCTCAGGTGTTTAGAAAGCTGAAACTTTCAGGATTCACTATTGGTCTAACTAGGAATCAAACAGCGGTGTCCAAAAACTTTCATGTTCAACATTTTCAAAAAACAGTTTTCGCTGGAACTCCATAGAAACCATACAAGGAGCGAGCAAACAATGAAACTATCTCATGCTTCATCTCGAGACCTGAAATTTCACGCCCAAACAGGGTTCGGTGAGATAAATTTACTGTACAAATCTCAGCTTCACAGAAGCGAACATGACCGCGAAATGCATCCTAGACTACCACACTTTTGACCTTTATCAGAAGCAAAATGCTCGAAAAATGAAATTCCACTTAGAAAGCTGAAAATTGGCGCCCAACTAGGGTTCAATGAGCTCATTCCACATTAGAAATTTCAGCTTGGCAGAAGTGAACACAGCTGAGAAATTCATGCCACAATATCACGATCACGATTTTGACCGATTTTCACAGTTTCCAGCCAAACGGTCAAAAAAATGAATTTCGACTTGGAGATGTGAAATGACCCGCCAAAACAGGGTTTCATGAACCCAATTTGCAGTAAAAGTTTCAGCTTTCCAAAAGCGTGCACGAGCGAGAAATTCATGACATAAAATGTTAATTTTGACCATTTCCCTAGAAACGTCAAAAAAAGGGGTGGTAGGTTAGTATTAGTATTAGTATTTAATAACGCTTA